TGGAAGATCATCACTTTCGATTTCTCTTTTCAAGTACTTATTATAATGTGTGCCAAGTAAATGTCTATTTGAGTTCGCAATGATTAAGCAACTTCTTTCACGTTTAGAAAATAAATGAACAATATATAAATGGTTTGTCTGTTTTTAAGTCCTTTTAATTGACCTCATTAAACGATGTAGTTTGATGGTATTTAAAAATAGTATTTTAGAGATTTTAGATACAACTGGGCAGATAATTTCGTTGCATCTTTCAGGTCGCACAAATTAAAGATCTGATGTTCTAGTTTAGTTAACGTAAGTATCAAATTACTTAAATATTTTTAAGCGATCATGACTTTTTGTTTCTTTTTTTTTAATTTTTATCTTAACATTTTTTAAACTTCTTTAAAATATAAATTAAAATCAATTTGATCACTTTAAATATGTATATGTCGTTGCCAAATGATCCTGCTTAAAGTTTTTTGAGGTATGAGGATTTAAAAACGTTCACGGTTTTAAAAAATATTTAATATAAAGTGAGTGCTACTTTAACCTGTAAGGAGACTTTTCTGGAAATTGTTAAATACTTTGAAATATCCTAGTTCTTATAATTAATTCGTGTTATTTTAAGAATGGATAAAAATTTAAGTATTCCATGTCTCTACATATTTATGCCATGGACAGGTAATCTTCCGTAGAGAAAAAGTTATTGATCATGCTTTCTTTTAAGTTACTAATAGTTTATCCCCTCTAATGAAAATCTGTGAATTATATTTCTAATATTTGGTACTAGGCTTAAGCAAGTACCTCGGCGTTTTCCTCAAACTTACCGGTACAGTTGAGGCGTATGCCTACTCACAGTAAGATAACGGAGACAGTTTTAGTATTAATGTATGTTATAAGAATAAAATCTATCATATCAATACTATCAAGTTATTCTGAAATTAAATTTAGCTTTAAAAATGTAGAGATTAAGGATTAAAATAATTAATATCATGTATATCAAGCATGGACAGAAGAGATCTCCAAAAATATTGACTTTGCCTAGATGGGTGTTATTTTATTTATAAGTGTCTTAAACATCTAAACGGGAACCCATGCCGTGAAAGTATTGGGTAAAAATAGGACTTTTTTGAATTTCTTTATATAAGATAAGATTTTGTTCAAATATTAATAAAAAAATATATATATTTTGAATGCAATTACATTACAGATCTTTTCTATTTTCTCAATTGATCCCCTGGAAATGTTACATTGGTGAAAGACACTCATTTTGGTGTTATTGCAAGAAAACCTCTAGTCTGCCGGGACTATAAATTGGTGACGATCAAATGTATCCTCAACCTTTTCTTGGAATTATTTGACATGGGGCCAAACCAGAGAACCACATAATCTGGTACCTCGGGAATTGGTAGCCCACAGGGCAGAGTTTCGGACTTTGTCTTGTCCCTGTTATTGGAGAGGTGCCTTCAGAATGCGCGTGGTGCATGTGTTTTAAGTCCAAATTCACTGGAAGGGAAAGTTGGTTAAAATACGATGCACGGTAAAATCTATAATTCTACCCAGGAAAAACTTACGTTGAAAAGTAATGAGTTAAAAAGCTAATAAAACCTCTTTTCACTACTTCTTCATTAGCATTTTAAGTCATTATTTTAACACGATGATGTCATTGGAGACAAGTACTTCTACGCACGCTTACAAATAGGGAGTTAAAGAAGTACTTGCAATTTCTCTTACAAAACAGTTGTTAAGTAAGTTGTTTTGTTTTTTAATAATAAAAAGAGCCAGTTAGAATACGAACCAGGGACTTCGGTTTGTTAGTCAAATGTTCTACAGACTGCACCACTGCTTAGCTATTTTATTGCGCGTCAAATAATGGTTTTCACTACAAAACTAATTTTTGTTTTATTTTTTGTAAAACACAATTCTTAAAACGCAATTAAATAAAATGTGCAAACAAAATGACAAAGCCGAAAATAAAGTACTTCTATATCAGATTATAAGAAAGTCATTACTAGAGTACTTCTAAGTAATGCAGACGGTAGTAGTCAGTAGTAGTAGTCATTGAAAAGTAAGTGGTTATGGAAGTACAACCCATTACCGAGTTGCTGGGTAGTTAAGTTCTGTGGGACTAAGTGTTGGAAATAAGTTGGTATTACGTGTATATGATACGAGATGGATGTAAGGGTATGTGAACCTTACCCACCCGTATACCTAGACTGAGTGTGTCGGATGAATCAGAAGTGTATTAGGTTGAAAGGTGATGGATGTAAGGGATCTTATACAAGTGATACCATTGAATTTTCCTTCCTTCCTTGTCCGGGTGTTTCAGGGTTTACTCTGTTCATACCAGATTTTCCACAGTATGTTCTCTGTGAATAAGAACAAGTCCTTGGCTTATTTGATGGATTCGTGTTTCGGTCTACCAATTACGTCTCTAGGTGCTGTTGCTGACTCAACAGAAGCCATCTCATTTGCGAGGTTGTAATCGGAATTGATGTTTTTACATCTCGGAAGTTAAGCAACGGGGCAGCAAAGATCTTGTACATGGACCGCCAGAACCATATACAAAAATTGCTACCGGAGTGTAAGATACACAAAGTGAGTGAGTCATTAAAAATGCTCACCTTGTAGACGAAAAACACAATATGTTCACGTAAAGGACTTCGAAATTGTTCTCAGTTGAGTCACTATTATAGGGAAAATAGCCGACTTCAGGTTTTTCATATAAAAACCCAATTAGTGTAAAAATTATGAGTGAGTACCAGGCAAACCAAAAATATGCTCTAAAAAGTGTTTTAAGCGCTTTAAATATTCAGTAAAAAACTAAAAATATGCTCTTAAAATTTAAGCAAAATTTAAAAAGTTTTGAAAAAAAGTTTTAAAAATATACAAAAACTAAAAAATAAAGCTCAAAATACTCAAATATGTTCTAAAAACTAGAAAATATGCCTTAAATATGCTACAAAAATCAAATCATGCAAAATAATGCTCCTGTGGGTAAAATATGCGCTAATAAATCGATGCCAAAATTCATAACTTGGTCAGAAACGTTTAAATATCTTATCCATGAGTCAGTACGATGCATCATAAAAAACATGCATTTGTATATTCTGGTTTCCCTGGTGATTACATATTTTCGCGAATTCCTCAAAAGCTTAAATAACATCTCTATAATGTTAACGGCGACGGAAACTTTTAAAAGTCAAAATGGCTATTGAGGATAATATAGAAACTAGAAAAACTTTAACTTAAAAATAATTATTTTAGACTCTGGTATATGGAAGATAATATTAAAGTTTATAAAAATCCTTTTTTAGTGATTGATTGATGATTTCAAATAGCTTTAATTATACTTAATTATTAATTTCAAATCTAGGTGGACTAAATTATAACAGTGTTTGTTTTTAAAACTGAAAATACCATACATGGCTTAATAATGTCAGTATATCTTGATATATTGCATAAACGAGTTTAATATTAACTGAAATTACTCAACAAAATTTTGTGATGATCGGTCTATAAATTGACCTTACTCCCTTGTAAGGACCCCTTCAGAAAATTACTTTAAAGCTCATATTTGGCTTAATAATGCCAGTATATCACTCCACAAAATTTTGTAGAGTGGGGTATATAATTGACCCCCGCCCTATGTAAGAATCCTTTTAGAAATGACTTTAACGTTCATAACTGCCTTTAAAAAGTCGTTATACCGATGCAATTTTAGGAATATTAAATTAACACCCTTCTTAATTATATATAGTCGCCTTCAGAAAAAGGCTTTAAAATGGGGATGTAATGATAAAGTTCGACATAAATAAGACTTTTATGAATCAAAACCTAAATACTAAATTTTATGAGGATCGGACCTTGGATCTACCCTTTATATAAACCCTTTTACAGAAAAAGCTGTTAGAACTTTTATACAAAAATTGTTTTCTAATCGATCTATGAAAAAGTCATGTAAAATGTACATTAACATTGTTTATAAATTATAATACACCTGTCTTTTTCCGTTATATTACATCTGTGATATTAGTAAGAATCCTGTGATAAATTAGGTTTAATCAATGAACTTAAATGGCGAAAATAAACGTAAATCCCATACAAGTAAAAGGATTCATTGAACACTTACAATTGATCAATGGATCAATGAGACAATAGGACAATCCGCAATCGTTGTTTAGGCGAATGAATCACTTGAGAGAGGTATAAATTTGTGTATGTACAAATATTTGCGGTCGCCATAGTTGGTAAACACAATTTGCGAGAACAAAAAAGATCACCATAAATAATAAAAACCACAGGAAGAACAACAGGGAAAAATCATATATAAATTATGGAAATCATAAACAGTAAACAACAAAAACAAAAATTATGATGGCGTTAAGGACAGGTAAACGGCAAACGATGATAGACAAATCAAATAAGAGTCACAGGAGAGTGATACAATCTGCGAGAGAGATAAGGTTGATATTATATTTAATTGAGACCAAAGAGAAATAATTTATAATTAAATCAAACATATCACAAGTATTCGCTATTATTGAGTGATAATTGTTTACAAATGGTTTGTAAATTAATTTGTGGAGAACAAGAGCGAGATAAAACATTAAATTGACAATATTTTATTAATAAGTTTTCGACACTCTTTTTATTATCCTTAAAAATATACGACGAGTAATCGCGTTATACCCAAAAACAATATTGTGGTATGCAACACCCCTCTCTCACTATGTTTGTTTAAAGGTGAGTGAGTGAACTCAATAAAACTACCTGTATGAAAACCAACCCTCCTATTATTTCCTAACAACAAATATAATCGTGTGTAAAAGAGACGCACGATACACAAAATACTCAATGAACTAAAAGAGGGGTTGTATGTCAGGCCAAATACTACGTAGACATGAGATCTGCCGTTTCATTCAGACACTTGGTTGGCTTTACAAAATAACTGTTATAATTGTATTTAATGCTAATGTTTTAACAGTTCCTTGCTTAGTCGGTGGTTAATGGTCGTAACGTACATCACGTCCTCTTGACAAAAAATACAATTTATGCAAATATAAATATAATTAAATTAATTAAAAACAAATGTTAATTTAATGTGAAGAATTCTTCTTACGGAAAAGTAATTCTATATACACATACCAAAAAGATTTATAAAAGAAGTGCAATTATTGAAAAAAAGTGTTTTAAAAAAATAAGTGAAATATTTAACAAAAAATAATTTGATGATTTTTATAATAATTTAAAAAAAAAAATCAACGTTAAAAAACAAAAATAATTTTGTGTTCCAATTTTCGCCAAATATAATGATGACAACCACAACATCACATGCTATCATGGCTCCGGTTATTCGTCCTATTCAAGAAAGTCCCGTTTCTCGACCACGAGCAGTCTACAGTATTGATCAGATATTGGGAAATCAAACGAAGCGTAGTGGTAAGTTCTGAACAACAGTAACCAACGGTAATCATTTAAATGTCATAAATATGCAATATTGAAATTGTTATACAATTTGATGTATATTTGGAATGATAATTTAAAGCTATAAACAATAGAAACGTACAATACTGTCACATAATTCCATTCCGATCGAAAGTAGACTTATTTTTAATAATATTTTAGATTACAACTTAAAATAACAACAATTACAAATAAATTTCAAATCCTATAAACAAAAACCACAAAACTAGGAACATTTTAGTGGTTTAATTAAAAAAAATGTTGCCGTTGTTTTTAACTTTTTGAAGAAGATAAATACGAAAATAGTTCCACTTTCGATCGGAATGAAATTTTGTAACTGAATTCTGAAGAAGTTCAATAAAACATTATAATAAAAAAATTATCAATAGTTATTTAGTAGAATAATTTAGTTATGCCGTAGTAGTATTACATTCAATACGATCATTTACTGATTCAACACGATCCTCAATTTATTACATTTTCCATCAGTGAACTACTTACATAATAGTTGTTTATCATCTAATAAGATCTTTTAACGGAACCCGTCGCAATAGTTTAACTCATATTTCATTATATTTCATACAAATAGTTTAAGGATAATACATAATCAAAACATAATAAGATCCAAAATTTATATATTTTATATTCACCCTTGTATGCCTGAAAATGATTACAGGTTTATTATGTCTTTCGGCTAAAAATTTTATGTTAGAAAGCACCAGGAACATCTCTTAACGAAATTAGTTCTTTATTATATTTTGAAGCCCTAAAGTGTTAATATTATTAATTACATATAAATCTATTATTCGAAACTGTATTGATTCAAACAAAAAATAAAAACCCCAAAAATATTAAAGATTATATTTTATATTGTTGCAATAATCAGAATGTCGGTTAAGGCAGGTTTCCGCATACACCGTAATCGGTACCGAAAATGAAATTTCATACATTTGTGACGAAAAAAAACTTACTTTTTTCGGTACAAATATATGTTTGCGGAAATGAGTCTTTACCGGATAAAACTACTACACTCTTTCCCATTCCTACAGAAAATAATCATGTTTCCCGACACACTTAAACGTACAATATAAATTGCATTTGTAGTAGATCTAAAAATATTTGCTTAATAAGTTAGTTAATATATTTCGTTAATTATATTTTCCGCCATTCATTTAGATTTATAATGAAAAATTTTATACCTCCTGCTGTAGCAAAAACATGAATTATACATATTAATTGCAAACAGAATATTGGGCGTCAATATTTAACACCTATAAATCTACACTGGAAATCTCATACACACTTTTATAATAAAAAAGAAAAAAACTCTGTATCAGTTTCAATAAATTGACACCTAAAAAGGAAATCACCCAATTGCGAACCTTTATACCTTCACATCAAAACATTTCATTTTTTCATCTGCTGTTAATGACAAATACGTTTTTATTTTGTTAATTTTTTTCTAATATAAAAGCTCAACAGGACATCATCGTAGTCGTGCTCGATATAATGATTTTATGATCATCGCTGCAATATGAAACGTTTATTAAAAACAACAACAATACAAGTACAAAATTCATAAACTTTCAACTCATATTTACTGTTTTGAGGGTTATGATGGGGTTATGTATAAAAAGTACTCTATGAATTCAGTTTAATGGTGAAATCATAATTTGCTTATGATTTAGACGTCAACGCCAACATCATCGTTACCGTCAGTTATCACATGTATGTACTATATACACACATACATACATATCATCACCACATTCACATTTAAAATTTGTCATTATTAGAGAATGAGTGACTGGGTAATTTACTATTTTGCGCTGATTTCATGTGCTTCTTCTCGATTTTAGAAAATTACCTCATTTTATATTCTTTTGAACGTTTGCGAATACATACATAAATATAGTCCTGTTGATGGTGATGAAGCATGACGCACAATATCTCTATTTCTTTCCAAGTGAAAATCAATGCTGGCTAAATTTTAAAACTCGTATTTTTCCTTGTATGCTGTTGAATAGAAATGTGATTTAGTTTTTGTGTTTTTTTGTAAATGCTTCGATTTTAGTGGATAAATGATGACATGCTGTGTCAAACAAGCTTTTCCAGTAGAGAAGCAGCAGACATATCGTTTGTAATAGAAAAATGAAAAAATGAAATTATTAATTTGAGGTTCATTAAATTTTGATTATAGGTTTACAAATAAAAAATAACGGTATGAACTTTGCTATACTTTTTGTAAGAATACATTTGTATGTGTGTGTGCATATCGTTTTGAGTGCTAAAATAATTATATTATGAATAATGTGCCTGTGTGTGTAAAATTTAATAAATGAAAAGGGGGTTTGTTTATTAAATAAATGTATTTGAGAACCTGAATTTATTGATTTTAATTTTTTACATTGGTCTAGAAATTCGCGCTTTTTTCTTTATCCTTGGCTTTTTGCTTCCCTTCCTCTGACAGGATATTTAAATGTTTCAAGTATTATACTCATTCATTCTATTTAATATCCTCACTCATACATTCTTACATTTATTTCACTTTGTTTTCAAATAAAACCCATCCAACAACAATAACAAATAATTTTGAAAGTTTAAGCTTTTTTGGGTTTTGTTTTGGTTTTTACGCATACAAATTTACAATAGAGGCTCTAAAATCAAAATCAAATTCAATTGAAATTTCTTTTCTTTTGTATAGAATTTGCAATTTCATTTTCAAAATAAGAGTGTTTGATTTTTAACCCATTGTTTACCCACTTAACATTTAGTAGTGTGTTTACTTAAAATATTGAATTCAATTGAAATGTTACGAGTAGAAAAAATGCTTTCGTAAAGATTTATTTTCTGGCAGAACAAAAAGTGGTTGGTGTTTAATAGATTGGAATTTATAGCAAAAAAAAAAAAAAAAAATAAATAATAATAATCGTTTTTATTCCCATAAGTACTTTTACATATATAGATACATACATACACAGATACATATGAGTGTATGGAGGAATGTACGTAAGTACGTGCATCACAATCAATCTCAATTTCAATAGATGTGGTTTTGTGTTTTATAACACCTGCTCTAAAATCAATTGCTTCTAATCTCTATAGTGTTGAATGTACTTTCGTCTATGATACTAAAACATCATTGTAATTCAATTACCTTTTGGACCATGGGGCATGTTGCAACAAGCATCACGTATGTTAGTGATCTGAACGTTCATACACATACACAAGTGATTTGAAAACTAATTTACATATAAAAGCTTTAATTTAAATCTTATTGGGTTTGTTTGCATAAATTTTGACTCGAAAATTTAATTTTAAATGTTTTCTAAAATCCTGCGCAATAGTATGAATTAAATTAATTTTAAATTTTAAACAATATTAATTTAGGAATTGGATTGGCTCAAACAAGCTGCTCAGATGTTAGACAAAACTAAAATTTTTTATTAATTTGGGGTGAAAAACGATTAATTTTCTTTTATTTTTCCAGACTCAACCGAATCATTAAATCAACAATCTTTACATAGCAGCAGCAACAACAATAGCAATAATTCGACGAGCCCTATACAAAACTCCATATTGCCACAATTGCATACACAACTACATTTAATACCTCCGCATCAATTGGCTCTACATCAGCAACACTTGCAGCAACAGCATCAACAACATCTGAACAATCATCATCAACATCACCATCATCTGCAACAGCAACAACAACAGCAGCAACATCATCAACATCTGCAGCAACATGCTGAAAAGCGCGAAAGAGAAGATTCTCCAGACAATACCGACAATGGCTTAGATGTTGACAATACCGATGATGATCTCTCGAATAGTCTAAATAATGGTCACGATTTGGACATGGAAAGGCCCAGAAAAGTAAGAAGGTAAGCTAAGCGCCAAACATCAATAGATTTTATTTTATATTTGTTTCTTATTGCATAATCCTTGATCCTCTTAAAATTGTCTGTGTAATACAAATACTTCATTTATTTTTTAATTTTGCACAGATCCCGCACCACCTTTACAACATTTCAATTGCATCAATTGGAGAGAGCGTTTGAAAAAACTCAATATCCGGATGTATTCACCAGAGAAGATTTAGCGATGCGTTTGGATTTAAGTGAAGCACGTGTTCAGGTAAATAATTTAATAGTTTAGATAACGTTCGTACAATTGATCAAATACTTAAGTCTATAATTGCCAGTGAATATACGTATGTAGGTTTTTGGGTTGAAACATCAAATTAATTGATATGTGTACATATTCAATTTTTGAAATATTTTTGTTAAATAATTGATCTCATCCTTTACAAATCAAAATCAAATTTCAAAACATTACTTTACCGAAATAAGTTTTATTTCTATGACTAACTCTGACTTTTTTTATACTTTATTGAGTATAATTGATAAAAATAAATGTATAAAATAAAAAAAACTGATTGTAATCGCTACAAATCATTAACAAAGCATGACCAGCCAAATAAACAAGGATAACATAAACAATTGCTTTTAGCTCTCTGATGTTGCAAACAACATATTTTTTTATATTTAAACCAGTTATGTGGAAAAAAGACCAGCATGAATTCAAATACACTTAAACACATTTATGCCATATACATACATACATGCATACATATGTATGTATATATGAATGTACATACATTCGTGTGTTACCACTCATAGATACAAATAAATCCCTAATAAAAGCTTAAATATCCATATATTCATACTCAAACACACAAATATACACACACATACACATATGCTTTGTTATTTATGTATGTATGCATGTGTTGTGTATGTCCTTCAGCAAATGCAATAAGTAAATCCGAAAATAATTGCCTTGTTAAAAAATTAAACAAAAAATACACGAGTATAAAATCCTTTAAAACGATCTATATGAAATACGCGTAAAACGTTTTTTATGAAATTTAAACGAAAAAATCAACAACAAATAATAAACAAACAAATTGATACAAACAATCGACAAGGATTAAATTGAACAAAAAAAAAAAGTAAATATATGTATGTATGAGCATGTAACCTTTTCTATAAATTCGAAATGATACTAACAGGGAATTAGCATTGTTACACTCGTACTTTCGTTCGATATGACACGCGATGTTGATTTTTGTAACTTTTTCTTAATTCCCATCCTTTTTCCATGCACGTATAACATGTTTAAGGACTCTTAGGCGTCCAGATTACGTACGAGTGTGGGTAATGATGAGAAGAGCAGAGAATAGATAATATCAGTGACCAATTAAATGTTCATCTCGCGTCTAAAATGGATTTTTCAATCATCTAAAGCAAAAGTAGATTGAAGGTAAAAGTAACAAATTACTGTTGAAGGATTTTACCGTGATGATGTCGATTATAATGATGATGAACTGTTGAAATAGATTTATGTATTGATAGGTCAAGTACTGTGCACACATTTTTAAATTCGTTTTCAAACAAATGTTGTCATTGTTGTTGGTTGATTCACTTTATTGTACTTTGCTATTTAATTCTTATTTAATTGTTTGCTTTTTTTTACTTTGCTTTGATTGTATTGTTGTTATCCATTTTAAACACCCTAATTATGTGTGAATTTTAACGAATATTTTGAATGTTGTTAATGTTGCCGCTTATAACAACCCTCCCTCCCTGTCAATCAACAAAGCATTACGAATTTGAAAAAGTGCAAACACCCTTTTTGGGAAATCTTCTTGAGTGTATTTCTGTATTTAGAGTTCATTCCGAAAACAATAAGCTCACAAAGTCGAGCTAATAACAAATAAATAAAGAGGAAAAATTCAATAAAATACTAACACCAGGCTAAAACAATCATCTAATCGCTTGGAAAATCTCTATTAAATACCATGGTCTCATCTAGCCAACTCATCCCCTCCCTTAAGCCCATAAGTAAAGTGTGTGTGAAAGTGTTTAAAACTATTTTCTAAAATTGAAATTTGTTCTGGTCTCTTTGTGTGTTATACCTTTAAAGTTTCAAGTATTTCTTATGCAAATTTCCTTTTACAAAGAGAAGAACTAAATAAAAAAGGACTTACTCGTGTTTTGATTTATCAATGTTTTAAGCGCTTTAATAGCTGCTGTATGAAAAATATTTTTGTTTACAGGCAAAAAGGAAATGTAGTTTCTTTGTTTTTGAATTTAAATCAGAAAATAATAATAATTGCACCCGCATACTGTTGATGATGTAGATAATGACTTAATTGCTTTTAATTAAGCTTTCATAAGCCTAATTATGATGAATTATAAAAAAAGTTTTAAATAATAATTGTGGGGTTTGGTTAAACATTTGTTAACAAGCCATTATTTATTTGATTTAATATTTTTAACTGTTATACAAACTGTTATATTTGATGAACTCCTGATTTACAATTATTTACGAAGAAAAAAAACTAAATGAAAACATGAAATCCTGCATCCTTTTGCATGTTAAATTACATGTTATAATTGTCCTTGTAACAATTAAAATTGCCATATCATCATCATCTCTCTCTATTTCCTTCACATACTCTCTTTGAATCTTCTTTTAAATCTCTACCTACATTGTAAATGGGTGATAATTTCATATGACTTTTTTTGTTTTCATTTTATTGCATATGTTCAAGTGGCTGTAATCTTTACAACTTCTCTAACATTTTCTTCATTCAAATATACATACATACATACATTAGACTTTTGCTGTGTATCCTGGAAATATCCAGTAAAATCTGGGTTTCATCAATGTTCGAATAAATAAACCATTCACAGCTTTTATGTTGCAGTGAAATCTTTCTTTACTTAACTTTACTGTTCAGACGACAAAGTATGACAATAATTTGTAACAATTATTGTCAGGAAATCATTACTAATTTACTATACGCACAGATGCATTCCATTGTTCGACAACCATCATGTGACTGTGAGGGGGGTCAGGAGGAAAGTGTGAGAAATGTGGCAGAGAGACATTTAAAATACAGCCTGTTTAAGTGGATTGTAATAGAAATGTTGAAATTAAATATTTTGTATTGTAGTTGGATGGATTATTTTCTTTAAGGACCTTGTATTTGTTTGGAAAATTTAAGGAAGTATAGACAATTGATTCAATTCGGTTACACTTGTTAGAAAATCAACAACATCAACAACACAATTGTAAATTACATTTAATAAGACACACATAGATACTCTTTCATACAAAAGTATCATCATGGCCATTATTCATACATTCATCTAAGCATCCATCCATCTATTCATCATACAATCATACCTTGTTGTTTTTCAATAAGCTTATTCCCTCTAAGGATTTTCAATGCAGATAAAGATTCAGAGAGAGAGACTGAGGAAAAGAAAGAATGAGAACGTTTATAAAAGTCTAACATCTTTATATGATTGCGATGATGCCCATAAAGTGTAGGAGGTGGAGGATGATTCTACTTCATCAAAAGTGTCTTTTTATTGTTCATCAGTGGATGGCTAGATGACTGCCAGAGTGGGAGACTGTTGTTCATATAATTGTTTGCCATGTGGGTAAGGGTGGGTGTGAGTGTTTTTTTTTTTAGAGAGAGGGAGTAGCAGAATGAGAGGTTGTAGAAGGCAAATCACAGAATTTAACTTCCGATTGGATTCTATTGTCTGTTGGTGTCGTCAGTAACTGTATTAAAATGTATGGCCAGAAGGAAGAAGAAGAGAGCAGGGGATGGGGGAAACGCTGTTTATTGAGAAAAGTGCACAATGATGATTAAAGGGGTTAATTGGGCGTTTATTCATTGAAAATTGTTGGCGGTTGTGTTGAGTATTAGCCATGGGGTTTGATTGCCTGTGCTGGTGGTGTTTGAGATAATTGGTTATGGCAATTATTGAGGAAATTATAGGCTTAAAAACATTTGTAACGATTAAAGCGAACTTTTCAATATCATTTATTTAATATTATTTCAAATTCTTATTTCTAAATTTATTTTTATGTTTGCAGGTTTGGTTTCAAAATCGTCGTGCCAAATGGCGTAAACGTGAAAAATTCATGAATCAAGATAAGAATGGTTATTTATTACCTGAACAAGGTAAGTTTTCTTTTACACTCTTTCACATTTAATTGATTTTCTTTAACATTTCGTGGCAGTGGCTTTTTGTATGATTAAAGTCACGTTATTTAATAATTTGTGCAAAACAATACATTTAATGTGAAATTAATTAATAAAAATTTACCATTAATTATAGAAAAGTTAAAGAGTTTAACTAATATTATTATTTTTTATTTTTTTGTAGGTTTGTCTGAATTCCCCTTGGGTATACCTTTGCCTCATGGAATTCCTGGACATCCGGCTGGTTTACCAGCTGAGTTTTGGCCACCTCACTTTGCCTTACACCAACCATTCAACCCAGCGCTGTTGCCTCAGGGTTTAATGCCCCATTACAAGTTACCCAACTTTCACACTCTGCTCTCCCAATACATGGGTCTAAGCAATTTGAATGGCATCTTTAATGCCTCTGCTTATCCTCAGAATTTGTCAATACACAGTGCGGCTCAAGTCAGTCCACCCTGCAGCAACAGCAGTCCCCGAGAAAGTCCTACAATTGTGCAAGGTTCTACTGCTGTGACGTCGGGTGGCGTAACGGTTACTTCATCGGCAGCAGCTTCACCGAAATCACCCATGAACAATCATGCTACTGGTAGTATAAGTGGAAATTCTACACCAGTGTCGGTGGTGACCAAATCAGAAGACTGAACATTAAAATTGTACAATGCGTGATAGAACGAATCGAAATGCAAACGGCAACTAAGTAAAAGAATTTTGTCCAGGAACTCTGAACAAAAATGTAAATAAAATTTTAGTTTTAATTCTATTTTTACATCAAATAACAATTAAAGAAAAGTGATATAATATAGTAGTTGTTTCATTGACAATTTTATTTTAAATGATTTTTTTTCACACATTAATGTGCATAAGATTTTAAATATTTTTTAAATTATCCAATTTGTTTATACCTTACAATTGTATTATAATTATAGTATTATTTTCGTTTTATATAGTAGAATTTTCAATAAAAATTGCCAAAAAAAAAAGTATTGTAAAATTAATTAATATACTTACATAAATATTAAAGGAAAATATAAAATAAAAGACATACATTTAGATGGCTTTTTTTAGACATTAAATCAAATAATTTTAGAAATTTAATAAAAATATGAAAAAAATATTTTAAATAAACTGTTTTACATATTTATTTTAGTGAAGATAAATCCATATCAGTGAGTGTTTTTGTGCTTAAGCCTTTTTCGGCAACTATTTAATTACCTATATTAGCTTACTTTGACAAATCAGTAAATAATTATGAATGAAATCCGTAGATAATTTCCAAAATAATGTCACAAAGTCAATTCACTACAAATATTGTTACATACATATTATCAAAAGACACCAAAAACAACTGGGTAGATTGAACAAAAATAGAGTATATTAGTGCTTTTTACGAATTGAAAAATGTTGAGATATTTTCAATATTTTTATAACAATCAAAATAATGTATATTCTTTGTATTTTATCGTTCGCCTTCGCGAACTCCCTAGAATGTTGCTACGGACTCCTATTTGGGAACCGTTGCTCTAGAATATAACTGCTGTGACGTCGGGTGGCGTAACGGTTACCTCATCGGCAGCAGCTTCACTGAAATTACCCATGAACAATCATGCTACTGGTAGTATAAGTGGAAATTCTACACCAGTGTCGGTGACCAAATCAGAAGACTGAACATTAAAATTGTACAATGCGTGATAGAACGAATCGAAATGCAAACGGCAACTAAGTAAAAGAATTTTGTACAGGAACTCAAACTCGGAATATCAAACTCTGTGAGCTTAATATTCCGAAAACTTGGTAAAAAATATAGATTTTGGGAATTTTACTTACATCTCAACCACCTGATGCTCCCACTGCAAATTAAAATTTGGTTCGTTCTAAGACATTATATTCCAAAATTTTTCTCCTGGGGTCAATATTTGGTAGGCTGGTTGATGATGATGACGGGTTTTTAATTTTCTTTCATATAGGTTTCGGGAATTTTTAGTTACATCTCAACCACCTGATGTTTCCACTGCAAATTAAAGTTTGGTTCGTTCTAAGATATTATGTCCCAAAATTTTTGTCCTGGGTTCAATATTTGGTAGGCTGGTTCATGATGATGATGACGGATTTTTAATGTGTATATCATGTGAAAGGTATTTGAGAGACGTATCAGAATTTTTAGTCGTAGTTCAGAAATATGTATTGAAAATTTTACGATTTTTCGGAAAAATTTTTTGTTTCGAAACCAACATTCATTTACACGGAGAAAAAGCAAGGGTAGGGACTGCTTTATACCTCTTCCACTATTAATATTAAAAATTCATGTAAATTTTATTTGCTAATTTTTTGTCTAAAATGAGCCGAGAAAAATATATTCGTTTTTAGAACAGTACTGACTACCGATAGTGCCTAATTTTGGTTATGATCCTAATGTACATTATATAAAATAATGTAATTAAAATAGGGTTCTATACCAAACCAGTTAATGAATTGTCTGGGTCAGTACCTTCCCTTCATAGTTCTTAATAGGTTCTAAATTTTCTATGAAACATCAATGCTAAAATTGAAGTATTAAACATTTTATGTACAGATTTTTTTATCTACATAGTATGTGAGTATAATTTAGTTATTTTCCACTAGAAGATAATGATATTAATATAGTTTTATATTAAAAAGGAAAATAAGACCCTTCTGATGTACAAACATACATACATTGTATGTAAGATTGCAAAAAAGTTATACCTCAATCTTACTGAAGGGCATACTGCAATTAATTCTATTTATTTTTCTAAATATTTTAAAATAATCATATTGTATATAAATATCAAAATTCAATATCCTGCAGAGTTATAAAAAAAAAAAACAAATCTTAATCTAAATCAAAATTTTGATTTTTTTTGAAATTGAAATATTTATTAAAAAGTAATTACGATCGTTGTACACTATAATTACAGGATATCAAACTATGTATTTAACACCGCAGGAACAAATGTAATTACAGTTTTAAATACCCTTCAACTCATACACACGCACAAACACACATCCTTGAGATGTTGAGGCTCTTAAACAAATGCTACATTTATGAAACAACTGAAAAATAAACTGGGTTTTCAATTCATCCATTCATTCAAAAATTCTTAATTCATGTTTGTACGAATACGTAGATATGTATATATGTATGAACAATGTTCATACTTACATAGATGTGTGTAGAAAAGTGATTTTAATGAACGGAATTAAGTACTTCCAGTTGAATACTTTCACAAAAACTCTATTGTATTAAATTTTTTTTGTACAAGAATGAAATCGACATCCATGTAGAGTACGGTGATGAAGATGGAGTGCCATAGTGCAAGAAAAATTAAAGATCAATAAACGAATACATACATAGATACATACATATACATATTTACTTCTTTTATTTTGTCTACTTATTTTTAATACAAAGTATTTCGACTTGATATCTCGTTTCTTTCAGTTTTAAATTTTCATTACATTGTATTGATTTGTTTCCTTTTATTTTTATTATTTTCGTCTTTTTATTATTTTGTTATAATTTTAGGATTAACGTTATAACTTTTTTGTTAACGCCGATGAAAATGAAGAAGCTGCAAGCGAAATGGTCTAATATTTTTAATAACAATCATAAAATGTTCAATAGAGGGTTGATTTGCTCATACGCGATGCTGTGCACATCTGTATTGTATCATAGACGTCAAAGTTCAAGTGGTACTTAATATGAATTTTAAGACTTTTATTGAATTTCTTTTAATTGTAAAAAATGTTTCATTAATATTTTTCTAAATTATTACTTACTCCGTCGGCTTTGATAACAGAATTGAATTTTAGAAACGTAAATTGCATAAGTATAAAAATCACAAGGATCAAAGAAACTAAAAATTATTTATCATAGTATTTCTCTTCTCTTCCAAAAAAAAAAAAAAACAGCATCCATTCATGCTCTTCCCACTTCTTTATTGTATTTTTACACGCAGTTATTATAAGCAATTTAAAAGATTTTAATTTGTGTCACTTTAATTAAAAAGTTAGAAACATAACTAATAAACAAATATTTAAAATATTATAAAAATAAAAATGTTGTAAAAGTGTTTACGATATTAATATTTGTTTGCATGTTGTGTGTGCCAAAAATCATTACTTTAGCGGAGCCCTAGGGCTTCACTAAACTTTGTTCGTTTTGTTTTTGTATTTCCTATTTTTTATATACATATATTAATTCGTTGGGAATTGTGCGGTTACGCGGGGAATAATTTTTGTTGATGTTGATTTCGAACCACCGAATTCATAAAAAACATATTAATCGTTTATTTTGGGCTTATTACGCACATTTTCTGCGTATGAATTTAATTATCAAAACAAAAACAAGTAAGAATGTATAATCGAGAATTGGCCGACCATATGGTACCCTACCTGTGGATTATTTTTGTAATAATAAAGTATTTTTTATTAAATCCGAAATACTTTAACAATTTTTACTATGTGGTCCTATCCGTATAAATTTTGGTAGAGCGATTTACGATGGCATTAAAGTTATTTATGCAAAATTTCAATGTGATAGAAGTGTTAGAATTTCTACCTTCAAGTCATTTTCTGAAGGGGACTTTGTTTGTGGGCTAGGGTCAAATGAGGACTTATCATTACGAAAATTGGCAGTATCATTTTAACTTATATAGAACTAAGATTTTCTGATTTTTGTGGAGATTGTACAATATTTAACATTATTATAACCTTAAAAGCCCTATTCGGGGGGTACGGTTGTATGGATGCTAGGCGATTTCAACCATTTTCTATAGGTTTCGTCCTTGGGTTAAAAGAAGAATTCATCAAATTATCTTGAAAATTGCGACCTGTAGCGTGCGCACAAGGTTTACATGTACACGTTAAAGTCATATTTTAAAAGGGTCTTTAAATGGGGTTAGGGTCAATTATAGACCTATCATCATAAAGTTTTCTAGAATGAACGGTTAATACTAAACCTGTTTATGTCAAATTTTATTGCTATACTGCCATTTTTAAATCATCTATCAGCTTGAAAGTAATTTTCTGAAGGTCACCATATGTATATGGGGTCTGGGGTCAATCATGGACCGATCCTCATAAAATTTTGTATAGAGATTTCGTTTAATACTAAACTTATTTATGTCAAATTTTATTGCTATACTGGCATTTTTAAGTCAGTTATGAAAAAGTAATGCTTTGAAGAGGACCTTATATGAGGGGTGGAGTCAATTATGGAAGAGAGTTATGAGTTCCATAGCAAACAATTTGCTTAAATATAAAATATTTTGCAAATTATTTTTTTCGATACATGGCTAGATCGTCGTAGAATTTAATGAGGATCGAGAATATATGTGCATACTTTTATGGGTCATAAGCAAATATTAGTGTTGCAAAAGGAATGACAAAAACAATAGACCCGCCATCCTTTTTGATGGTGGATATACAAATATCATGTAAACTATAAAAAAATTATATTTAACAAGTTGTAACAAATTCTTTTGAAGATTCCATATATAGTAAAGTTTTGAAACCAGGCGCTTACTTTTCTTAACACTCAGTTTCCAATATTTTTAATCAAAATCTGACCAAGAATAAGACTTATTGTGGAAGGAAAAATTAAAAGCTTTAACAGAAGTTGTTAAACTAGTTTTATATTTATGATAAGTATTGTTTTGTACATCCAAATTTTATTGATAAACAAAAAATAAATGAATGAAAAAGTTTCAGTCAATCATTTAAAATTCCTTACGCTTTGTCCCTGTTCTAAGTACATTTTGTGCCATGAAAGTATTTATCTCGTTCATTTCATTCGAGTGTCATCATCATTTATGACTTAATTCCCATTTAATTTGAATTTTATTTACTTTTCATAACCATTTTGCCACTCAAATCACTG